ACAAAAACTTCCCAACCATCACAACCCAAGAACCCGTTGGCAACCAACCAATAAGACCAACCACAATCAAAACACCAAGCAATCCCCTCCAAAAGCCAATAATCCATTTCCCACATCAAGAAGGAAAAGGATTAACAAATACATAGTCATCCCCCATGATTATAACACTTCAAATGGCTATAGACCAATCTGCTTAGAACTAAATGGTTCTAGATGGGCGTGGATGCCCAAACTTGTACAAAGGGAGTTGCCCACTAACTTGTGGGCTACTGCTCAACAATGATGAATAAATGAAGGTGCTGGAGCAGTTGACTCACAAACATGGTACATAGATTCAGGCTGCTCCAGGCACATGACAGGCAGCAGGCGGCTCCTGTCAAACTATATGGCAAAGGAAGGACCCAAAGTGACATTTGGGAATGTGGAAAAACAAGGAGAAACCAAAGGAGCTGGAGACCTATCAATCAATGGACTTACAATCCAAAACCTATCTTATATTAAAGGATTAAAGTTCAATCTCATAAGCACAAGCCATCTTTGTGACAATGGATACAATGTTACATTCTCCAAAGACATCTGCTTGATTAGAGATATCAAAAATGAAAAAGTTGTGCTCACTGATAGAAGGAAGAAGGACATGTATGTTGTTTATTGGAACTCAGCCAAAGAGGGGATCTGCTTGGTGACAAAGGCAAATTCAAATCTAAATTGGGAATGACATAACAAACTCAGCCATCTCAACTTCAAAACCATCAACAAACTGTCCAGAAAAGGATTTGTGAAAGGACTCCCAGAAATCGATTTCAAGAAGGACCATCTATGTGATGCTTGCCAGAAAAGAAAACAAACCAAGGTATCATTCAAATCCAAAGAAGTAGAATCATCAACTAGACCTTTGAACCTACTACACCTTGACTTGTTTGGACCAGTTGAACAGTTTAAGTGGAAGAAGGTACACCCTAGTTGTTGTTGATGATTATTCAAGATACACTTGGACAATATTCCTCAAAAAGAAGAATGAGATAGAGAAGAAGCTCCTTGAATTGATGAATTTAATTCAGAATGAGAAAAGTCTCTCAATCCAAAAAATCAGGTCAGATAGAGGTACAGAATTCCTCAACTCCATAGTAATTCAGTACTGTGAAGAAAATGGAATCCATCACCAAACTTCAGCAGCAAGAACACCTCAACAAAATGGTATTGCTGAAAGAAGGAATAGGACACTCAAGGAGGCTGGAAGAAAAATTCTAGACGCAGCTGGATTGCCCAAAAGATTTTGGGCAGAAGCAATCAATACAGTTTGCTACACCAGAATAGAAGTCTTATTCATAAGACTTACAAAAAGACACCTTATGAGCTATGGAAAGGAAGGAAGCCAAATGTTAGTCATTTCCATGTGTTTGGATCCAAATGTTTCATTCTAAACAATGGAAAGGACTACTTCAAGCCATTTGATCCCAAATCTGATGAAGGGATCTTCCTGGGCTACTCGGTAACAAGCAAGGCTTTTCGGATCCTCAACAAAAGAACTCTGGTGATGGAAGAATCAATCTATGTGGGTTTTTAGAACCACACCACTGCTCATGAAAGAAATGAAGGTGAGTCATCTAAATCAAAGAAGAATACTGGAGAGGCTCCAAGCTGCCTTCCCAATAATATTCAAAAAGATAATGAAACCTTGGAAGCAGCAACTGACTCATATGGCAGCCCACTGCTAGCAGTTGACTCAATCGGCAGTCCACTGCCAGCAGTTGCCTCCACAAATAGGCCACTGCCAGCAGGTGACTCACCAAGAAACAACCTTCCAAGCAATCATGATATTCATAAAAATTAATTCCACTTTAGGTCCTCCGAGTTTTGTGTCATTTCCATATTTAGTCCTCATCTTTCACTTTATCCATTTTTGGTACCTTACTATTGTTTTTTTGACCATTTGTGGTCCATTTCTGAGCATTTTTACTATCGGAAATGACTATATATGGTCAAGAAAACAATAGTCAGGTACAAAAAATGGATAAAATGAAAGACGAGGACTAATTGTGGAATTGGTGCAAAACTCGAAGGACCATAAGTGGAATTTCTTCTATTCATAATCATCCTATTCTACCAGAAGATAGTGAAGAAGAAGAGGAGGAGGATGACCAACAACTCCAAACCAAAACAACCATATCTGAAATTAGATGGTTGAACAAACATCCTCTCACCAAAACATTGGAAACATCCATGAAGGGGTTCGAACCAGATCAACACTTCAGAGAGAAGCACTGTTCTCATGCTTCATCTGACAAACTGAACCCAAGAAAATTGAAGAAGCCCTACTTGACTCTGACTGGATACAAGCTATGCAAGAAGAACTCAACCAGTTTGAAAGAAACAATGTTTGGAAGCTTGTGTCCAGACCCTATCATCAACATGTGATAGGAACTAAATGGGTATTCAGAAACAAAATGGATGAGGAAGGCACAATTGTCAAGAACAAGGCAAGACTAGTAGCCAAAGGCTACTGTCAGGAAGAAGGCATAGATTTTGATGAAACCTTTGCTCCTGTTGATAGACTTGAAGCTATAAGAATATTCTTAGCCTATGTTGCCCATAAGCAATTCACTGTCTATCAAATGGACGTGAAAAGTGCCTTCCTAAACGGTCTACTAGAAGAGGAGGTCTATGTGGAGCAACCTCCTGGATTTGAAATCAACAGAGAGAAGGATCTGGTCTACAAATTATACAAAGCTCTTTATGGACTCAAACAAGCCCAAAGAGCATGGTATGACACTCTCTCTGAATATTTAGTGAATAATGGGTTCACTATAGGCAAAGTAGACAAGACATTATTCAAAATTGAAGAAGGTGCCCACATACTGTTTGTTCAAATCTATGTTGATGACATAATCTTTGGAAGCTCAAACCAAGCATTATGTGAGAACTTTTCAACTCTCATGCAAAGCAAATTTGAAATGAGCATGATGGGAGAGCTGAACTATTTCTTGGGACAACAAGTGAAGCAAACTCCACAAGGTATCTTCATCAACCAAGCCAAATATACTAGAGATCTCATGAATAAATTCAAGGTTGAAAACAAGTCCACTGTGAAAATACCCATGAATATATCCCAAGGTCTAAGTCAGGATGAAGATGGCAAAGATGTTGATCCTACACTTTATAGAGGTTTGATTTGTTCCTTGTTGTATCTCACCACTATTGAGACAAAAAGATACACCCGCCCCTTTTCCTTGATCATTTTTCGGCCAACCCACACCCAACAAGAGTAGGGAACTCTCCAGCCTTCTTCTTCCATCCTTGAAGAGAGCTCAAACAATAGAGGATCCAAAGAGGAAGATTAAAGAGAGAAAAAAGTTAGGAAAAGTGTGAAGAAATAAGGTAATGACCTTGTATTAACTTTTCCTCTACTTTTCTTTTACCATATGATTTATATAGCATAGGATGAATCCTTTTTATGGTTATACATATTCAAATATGTAGAAAATGGGTTGGAAAGTAATTCATAATCCAAGAACGGATTTATAGTCAAAATTACCAGTTCGCTGGAAAATAACCTTTTAAAGGTTATTTGCATTGATATGAGTTTTGTGATGATAAAATCATGTTAGGAGCATAACTAAAGTGTTTCTAGAGTTATCCGGAGTTTCGCCGGAGTGCGCCGGAGTTCAACCGAGGAGCGTAGAACGCGCTTAAGCTCATTTAAGGTGAGTGGACGGCTTAATATCTTATAACTTTTGGGTTAATTATGAGATTACCTAAATAAATGTTATGTGTTCATAATTATGTTTAAAAGGTATTTACACATGTGATTCGCCAACATGGTTAAGTTTGTATGAAAGGAATTAATTGTTTATGTATGAAATATGTTATGAGGAATCATATAAAATGCATGTTTGCTTGAAGTGTAAGAGGAGCACAAATGAACATTTTAAACTTAATTATATGATGATTAAGTTGATACGTATAAGGCTTGAAATGGCGGTCAACAAAAACGTGGACCGACAGATAATGGATTATTTAATACCGGATGGTATTAGTTAATTATGAATTTATATGAACACATGGCTTTGCATGGATTGTGATACATAAGCTTTATGTATTGATTTAGCTATGAATGAATAAATATGATATAGACTCTATCTAGGTTGGTAGGAGGTTTATCATATGATTATAAACTTGGTAGAGGACCCTAGGACTTAAAGTCCTTAACACTCATATTATATTTTGGTGGAGGACCCTAGGACTTAAATTCTTTAACACTCATATTTTGGTGGAGGACCCTAGGACTTAAAGTCCTTAACACTCGGATTATAAATTGGTGGAGGACCCTAGGACTTAAAGTCCTTAACACTCGGATTATATTTTGGTGGAGGACCCCAGGACTTAAAGTCCTTAACACTCGGATTATATTTTGGTGGAGGACCCTAGGACTTAAAGTCCTTAACACTCGGATTATAAATTGGTGGAGGACCCTAGGACTTAAATTCCTTAACACTCGAATTATAAATTGGTGGAGGACCCTAGGACTTAAAGTCCTTAACATTCGGATAATAAATTGGTGGAGGACCCTAGGACTAAAAGTCCTTAACACTGAAATATAAATTGGTGGAGTACCCAAGGATTTTGATCCTCAAAACTCATAGATTATGATATTGAAATATGGATAAAGAGGAGTCCTTTACACTCATAGGTATATGGGTGGGTTAGGGTTTTTAGTCAAGAATATTGGCTATTACTATTTTCCCCAAATAAAATGGTGATCTACGAATCGGGTATTTTCCAAGTGTATATATAATATTAAAAAAATACTATTAAGTATTTCTTTTTTTGGATGAAATGTAAGTATTCTATTAAGTATTTCTTAACTCGGGGGAAATGACTATTTATATAAGTATCACCCTATGTTTGGGTCTTATACTTGAAACGCTAGTTATTCTATATTTATTCTGCTACTCGCTCGGTACTTGTACTGACCCCTTTGGGGGCCCCACCATTTTCAGGTTGAAGCTAGGGCTTGCTACCTGCACCTTTCCGCGGGTGACATCAAATCAAGGAAGACGTGGTTCGTGCTTCCTCGTTTTCTTTCAAATTACCAAACATTGCTCATGGATACTTTTATTCGTTATAAACTACTTTTGGGCTTGCATGCCCATGTTATTGGCCGAATGTGGCCTATGAATTACCGCTGAATATTTCTGCTATTCAATGGTTTAAATGTGATGTTTGTTATGTATGTTTACTACTGAGTATGGATGGATTGTTTTCTGGAACGCCTTGTATGATTAAGTGGGGTTGACCTGCGGGTGACGTCACTCGATTATATGGAGGTTGTACACGCACTTAGATTGCGGTCTGGGGCGTGACAATTAAGTGGTATCAGAGCCATCTCAGTTCTAAACTATGTTATCAACCTCCCACAAGAGATTTGCAAAAGATTTTTTACCGAAAACCATGAACATTGTATTTTGACGTTCATAGAACTATTGTTACCTAGGTTGCAAGGTCTCTAATTGTTAAGATGATACCCTTAACAATTGGTATGGTGGTGACTTGGGCCAATATGTGTCTATAACGTGTTCCGTCAATTGACATTGATTGGGGTCTAACGAATCGTTCAAATTTTTTTGTAGAAATGGAGGGTAGACGTATACCGATGAGAAACAACCCTAGGGGACTAGCTGCGGGAGCCTCCTTGGGGGCTAGCTGAGCCACATCCCTTGGCTCTCCGGGAAGAAGAGGAGGCCGTGTAGACCGTGGGGGCCACCGTTCCCAAACAGTGAGCGATGGCCATGTGAGCTCGGTGTATGAGACTAACACCGAGGGCTATGATTTGACTTTTGTTCCTGAAACGGAGCGTGAGGAAACCCCATATGATGGGGGCGATTTCCACACGGATAACGAGGATGACAATAGTGAAAGTGACGTCCGTTTTGCTCAGATGGGTGAGCTATTTGAATGGTATCAAAAGGAAAAGCTGAGGAGGGATCTTAGACGCCAAGCTAGGCGTGCCTCTCAAGGCGGATCGGGCCAAGGGAGCCGGGGGGCTTCAAGGGCTGTTTCAGGAGCGTCTCGGGATAGACGTGAGGGAGATTTCTGTGTGAGGATCTACAAATACCTCAAGGAGGCTAGAGCCTTGGGGTGCAGGTCCTTCGACGGCATCAACGGTATTACCGTTGCCGCCGATGGGATAAAGAAGGTGAAAGACGCATCGAGAGAGATGCAGATAACGCCTGACGTGAAGTTGATTGTTGCTTCACGTTTGCTTGAAGGAATAGCTTCTACATAGTGGGAGAGTGTAGAAGGAAAGTACCATGGGAACATCTCATGGGCGAGCTTTGAACAGGAATTCTACGCCCAATACTACTCTGACTATGAGGTGAATGTGAAGCGTAGAGAGTACACGAACCTCAAATAGAAGGAGGGCATGACCGTTAAAGAATTGGAGCAAGAGTTTAGAACTTTGGCTATGTTCTTACCGGAGTATGCGGCCGATGAGGACCGCATGACCGAGCACTTTTGGGATGCCTTATTGTTGGACATCCGTGACCGGGCCACATACTCACGCCACATGACTTTTAGTGAAGTGGCGGAACAAGGTATGTTTGGGGAAACCCAATGGAATGAAAGGAAGGAGAGAGACGCCGAGGAGGCGAAGAAGAGGAAGTGGCATAGTTCGGGACCGCCCGAGCACTCGCGTAAGAACAACCACGGAGGCGGTGGTCCGTTCAAGGCGCTGGCACCACCGGCGAAGAAGAACAAGGACTCTTGGTGACACACGTCCGGGCCTCACCATTCGGGACCACCAAAATGTGCCAATTGTTCAAAGAACCATTTCGGGAAGTACAATGCACCCCCGAGGTGCTACTAATGCGGGAATGCGGGCCACATGAAGGCCAATTACCCACAATTGAGGAAGGAAGGGACTTCAGGGGCCGGAGCGGGAGCCCTGATGGGAAGGAACCGTGCAGGACCGTCACACGGCGGCACGGGAAGAGGCGGCGCATCCACAAGCAATGTCGCGTCCGTAAATCAAGGCGGGGCCCAAGCAAGGGTCTATGCAATGACCGAAGCGGACGCAGGTGCAAACCCGGACTCTGTAGCGGGTAATTCCTTAAATACATGTCATTAACTCTTTTGTAAGCAACACGAACATTAAAATGTGCGAATTATCACCCCGGCCGATCGTGCCGGTGTTGTAATAAAAAAGGGGAGGAATATACATGCCCTGGGCGAACGCCGCCCGACGTTGGAGAAAGCCGCCCGACTTTCGACTTTATTTTAATTAATAAAAACTACGACGACAAACGTCGGCCGGTGTTCAAGAAACGCGACCGACAAATAGAGGATGGATCCTCGAAACAATGCACGAGAGCCTCCCGGGATTGGCAAAAGCCGCCCGGCTTTTGAAATGAATTAATTGAATAAAACTATGGCGCTGGATACCGTTCGGCTTCCACTGAAGACCGGCCGGGTTTCGTAGACGACAACTGGGGAAAATCCTCGTGGATGAAAACCGGCCGGGTTTCATAGAAACCGGCTGGCATTTGGAATTATTTAATGCGATTAAACTACGGCAATGAAAATCGGCCGACTTTTGTCAAAGCCCGGCCGGCTTATGTAACGACAAGTCCAGAACGGGACGAAAACCGGCCGACTTTCACAAAAAGCGGCCGGCTTTCACCAATTGTGCGCAACGTCAGTTTTAGAGTGAGGACTGGGATGGGTTGTGATGGAGCATCGAACGACTATCATCTAAACCTTAGTGGGTGCACTCTATAACTTAAGAAACGAACCTTTTGCTTGGAAAGTGTGTCTTACATTGCTTATGAATGTAGGAACACTAAAGATAAACGGGAGAGACGCAAGAATCCTCATTGATACCGGGGCACAACGTTCTTTTATGAGCGAAGCATTTTCCGAAAGTCTTGACATACCATTGACGCCAATGACGCAAACCTTGATAGTCTCCACACCATTAGGAGATGATGTAGAGAGGAACCATTACTATCCATCATGTGAGGTAGAAGTGACGGGTCAACCTTTGACTTGTGATTTTGTAACTCTAAGTATGTTGGAATTTGATGCCATCCTAGGGATGGATTGGCTCGAGAAACATCATGCTCGTGTTGATTGCTACACCAAAGTATTAGAACTCGAGGATGATGAGGGAAATGCATTACGTTTCGAGGGAGATAGGGGAAGATCTCATGGTTGTATCATATCCGTGATGGCATGGAAGATGAGGAGGAAGGGTGCCACGCGTACCTTGCCTACGTGGTAGATGGAACGAAGAAGGAGGTCGACATCAATGACGTACGTATCGTGTGTAAGTATCCGGACGTCTTCCCCAAAGACTTACCGGGGCTTCCACCAGATAGAGAGATCGAATTTGTGATTGAAGTAGAGCCGGGAACCAAACCTATTTCGATTCCTCCTTATCGAATGGCACCGACGGAACTTCAAGAATTGAAGGTCCAATTACAAGAGCTATTGGACAACGGGTTCATCAGACCCAGTCATTCACCGTGGGGAGCACCCGTACTCTTCGTGAAGAAGAAAGATGATACACTAAAAATGTGTATCGACTACCGGCAGTTGAACAAGGTCACCATCAAGAACAGGTATCCTTTACCTAGGATTGATGACTTGTTTGATCAACTTCGAGGGGCAGTAGTATTCTCGAAGATTGATTTGAGGTCGGGGTATCATCAGTTGAAGATCAAGGAAAGTGACATACCTAAGAGTGCATTTCGCACTAGATATGGGCATTACGAGTTCCTTGTGATGTCATTTGGTTTAAGCAATGCACCGACAACATTCATGGACGTGATGAACCGTGTGTTTAGTGAATACTTAGATCAGTTTGTGATTGTATTCATTGATGACATCTTGATATACTCGAAGAACGAAGAAGAACATGAGCATCACTTAAAGCTTGTACTTGAACGACTAAGGGAAAAACAACTCTTTGCCAAGTTCTCTAAGTGTGAATTCTAGCTCAAGGAGATTGGTTTCCTCGGTCATATCATATCCGGTTCGGGCGTTGCAGTGGATAACGCAAGATAGAAGCCATCATTGATTGGGAGAGACCCAAGAGTGTGAAAGAGATACGTAGTTTCCTTGGCTTAGCGGGTTACTATCGTAAATTTGTTGAGAAATTCTCCGTGTTGGCATCACCACTAACGAAGCTCACGAAGAAGGGGGCTAAGTTCGTATGGGATGACAAATGTGAGAAGGGATTTCTTGAACTAAAGAAACGACTTACCGAGGCACCAGTTCTTGCCCTACTCATACAAGGTATAGGGTATGATATCTATAGCGACGCTAGCATCCAAGGGCTTGGATATGTTCTAATGCAAAATGGTATGGTGATTGCATATGCTTCTAGGAAATTGAGGAAACACGAGGTGAACTACCCCACCCATGACCTGGAGTTGGGGGCGGTAGTGTTTGCACTAAAGATTTGGAGGCATTATCTCTACGGTGAGACATGTCACATCTACACCGATCATAAGAGCTTGAAGTATGTATTCACTCAGAAAGAGTTGAATATGAGGCAAAGGAGATGGATGGAGTTGATCAAGGACTATGACTTGATCATCGACTATCATCCCGGTAAGGCCAACGTTGTGGCCGATGCACTGAGCAGGAAGAGTATGTCGGGGACGTTACTCACATGCCTACGAGCATTACGGGCACACGTGGAAGTGTCCTCGAGTGGGGCGCTCATAGCTAGATTTGAGGTTAGACCTACGTTACTGAGTGAGATCAGTAGAGGTCAGGGCGTTGATGAGGAATGTCAAAAGATCCGCGCGCGGATCCTTGCGGGGCCCGTTGAGAACTTTCGTGTACGTGACGATGGTCTTTTATTGTTCAAAGATCGTGTGTGCGTACCAAGGGATGAGGAGCTCCGGAAATCCATACTTGAGGAGGCTCATTCTTTGGCCTATGCTATGCATCCAGGAGGTACAAAGATGTGCCGAGACCTGAAGGAGAGTTATTGGTGGTCAGGTATAAAGAGGGACATCGCAGAGTATGTGAGTCGATGCCTTAGTTGTCAGCAAGTTAAGGCGGAACATCAGCACCCGGCGGGGCTTTTGCAGCCACTTACCATTCCAGAATGAAAGTGGGAACACGTGACCATGGACTTCGTGGTAGGGCTACCACGGACGGTGAACAACTACGA